TCCTTTTTACAGAATTTTTTTTGAGTTTTCGAAAACCTTCATTAGAAAAAAATTGAAATACTTTAACTCACAAATGCAACAAGTTTTAAAAATTGCTGAAAATGTGCATATTAACGGCTTCTGAGAAATGTTTCAAAAATTACCTTCTTGTAGTACGGTATGGTTTAGGCACTAGTTGTGTTCACGGACAGACGGAAGGACAGACGGACAGGCCGACGGACAGACAGGCCGACGGACAGACAGGCCGACGGACAGAGAGGCCGACGGACAGAGAGACCGATGGACAGACAGGCAGACGGACGGACGGACGAGCGGAAGGACGGACGGACGGACGTTTTGAAAAAGAAACAACTCTTTTTCGGCATCAGGGGACCCCAAAACTTGTATTTCCGTTTTCCAAATATCGAAATCGATTTTCCGCAGCATTACATAACTTTCTCTGTATTACGTATATTATTATTCCGCATATACGCCCTATATGAGAAAGCAAAAACGAATAGTTTTCGCATGAGTTCTGCTTTACGTTAATACTAATTATAAAAAACATTTCCTCAAAAAACGCAACAAATTGTTTCTTGAAATTTTCTAGACGGATGTGGCAAGGAACAGTTTAAGAATGGCGCAGATCTCATTTTCGTTGAATCTCTGCATTTTCGAAATTTGCAAATTTAGACTTGATGCGGAATAAAGATCGGAGAATGGATTTTCTTTTCATGTAGGACTGTAAGGAAACCAGTACAGTATCATGTAACAATTTAATTGCTCATTTTACTACAATTATACGCAGGTTGCTTACTGTGTATTTCATAAGACCCCACGAATCTCAGCCGCAACATTTACACTCTTCCCGCAATATTATTTACCCAAAGAATGTGATAAAGTGGCAGCTTCCCAAAACGGTTTTACGAAAGTCAATGGGCGATTTGCATACTTCTCTTTGAAAAGATTCCTTGGTTGAAAAAAGGCCAATAGTCTATTTGTTCTATTTTTATTGGCTATTTTATTTCTGATCCTGGTTTTGATTCAGTAGTGACCACTCGAAAATTGCAAACTTTTGTAATTGTCAGATACATTCTACCCCTGAATGGGTTTGATGCTTTAAAAGTCCAAAAAGGTGTCATTTCGGGATATATTATTGCAATACCAATATCATTCATATGTTTTCAACTTTTTTTATGAATAAACAAGAGAAAAATAAATTCTATTTGTTCCATATCTCGCCAGTAGAAGGAAGAAGCTCAACTTTCTGTAAGTTTGAAGCAAGGGCGACGGTTCCAGTTCTTACTTTTCAGAGTAAGTCAGATTCAGTACTCGGAGTAGTCACTTCCGAGAAAGCGACATCTATACCCAACTGTAAATTTACTGCAATTCTTATCTGTACATTGACATAGTGTATATATTTTTGCATTCTGCCATCGCACCTTGTGAAGTCAAATTGTGAAATAAAGATATCTAACTAGATATCTAGTTAAGAGATCACGTGAAACTTCGTCTCTCACACTTACCGTGTTAGTGAAAATAAAAGGTAAATAGGCAATGAAAAGGTAAAATGGTAATAAAATAAAGGTACTGTTTAGCCACCTAGTAACCTTGTAACGTACCTAGCAACGTTTTATTCCGTGAGTATAGAACAAAATGTGAAGTTGCTAAGTAGGCCACAAACCTCAGTGATTTGACCTTCGCTCAGGATCTGTCATTTCACGCGCTAAATTTGACTATTACAACTCTGTATCGGGAGAGGGAAGGCATGAGAGAATAAGAGAATATTTGCGTGGTTACTTAACATCCTCAACTGACTGGTACAAATGTTGTACATTATTTAGGGATTCCCAGCGATGTGACCCCCCTCGGGTCGATATTTTTCAGGGGGGTCGATGATGATCTAGGTCTCGACTGAGTCTAAACCCGAGTAGTACCGTCGACTAATCGATATAATCTAGACGAATACCTCATTAACTAATAAAAATATTAATAAATATAATTAGTAAATAAATGCTAACCCCCCGGAAATATCTGAAGTTTGACATATCGAGAGAAAAAGATCGTTGTGTGTGTGTGTGTGTGTGTGTGTGTGTGTGTGAGAGGTAAACTTCGGATTATTTGGGAACATTTCCGAACTTCCACAAAAATATTCAAAAGTCAAATTTCAAACCACGCAAGCCTAATTTTTAAGTTCTAAAGAATTCTAAAGAAACAAAGAAGGAAATGAGTCAGTTCGACATTTGACTGTCCGGAAGGCGAAACGCCCTGCGAAAGGTCGCAGTATGTCGGCCGACGGCCGTTGGCAACTGTGCTGAAGCTGTGCGATGTCTCCAAGACAGCCAAGTATCTATTGACTCCGGTAGGGGAAGTAGGAAGTACGGAGTAGGACGTTTTCGAGTCACATTGCGTTTATCTGACTTTCTGCAAAGACAAAGCGAGCAAGGATTTTCTATGAAGTCTCACTTTCATCACCTGAACGTTACAGACAGCTCTTTGCCAATCCAAAGACATCCAAATGGTTCGTTTTATCTCGTGTTTTTTCCAATGTTTCTTAAATTAAAAGCATGAGTTTTGGGAGACAACATTTTTGTTAAGCAACAAAATTTTAAATATTTTTATAAACTGTTGCTAAGGGATAAAAAACCAAACAAAAACGATTTAACATATGAATAGTCTACGATGGGTTGCAGAATCACGACGTCGTTAAGATAAGTGAGCGAAGAACGCAAATTATTTGCCCTGTGCATTCATTTTAAATTTTGTATAATTTGTTTACATTTTTCCCAAGACAAAGTGAGCGGACCAAGTGAAGCAGTTCCAAACACTTATTCTGAGCGGACCTTTCTTTTAAGCGTGTCATTCATCACCAACAAGACAGTTATATACTCTTTATGACTTTCAGGTATTTCTGACGTATTTGTCACACGTTCGTTAAACTGCCACATCCGTGTCAGAAGCTTAAATGAGCGCAGTTAACCTTGAAAATTAACACTAATGAACGCCATAGCTTTCGCAGAACGATAAATTTAACGTCAATGTTACACAGGTGCAAAATGTCGTGGTTTTAATGCGACTCATTTCAAGAGCTTTTTATTCGTTGTTCTGTAATTGCAGAATTGTTTGCTAAATCATGGATCAGGTCGCAGATCAAAAACAAAGTGCTTACACAGAAAATACCAAAACTACATGACTATTTACTATTTGAAAAGACATTTAACGCGGAGATGACAAAAATAGGAATGAATTACAAAATGAATTTTCAATTTTTGTTACACAACTTTTTAAAAAATGTTAAATTACATCATCCATTAAATTTTATATAAAATTATAACAAGTTATACAAATGAAGTTGGGTAATTAAAACAAAATATTAATATCATGTAAAATGTACGAAATGTAATAATTTCTGTATCATAAAGAGTACATTGGACGTTTGAATACTCGAATAACTTTAGAATACATACTACGTGCAATATTGCTACTCTACTGCATTGTGAAGAAGTGAAAGTAACTTATTTTCTACGAAGAAGAAACGCAACATTTGTATAACTCCATATTTCAAAATAATATGTGATAAAAGAAATTTCGATTACGCCAAAATCTTTTATAACGCGTGTTCAAGGAATATGAATGAACACTATATTAAAATGTTATCATCCACCTATATTTATGTTTTCTTTCTTTGAACGCTTAAATAAATGCACTTCCTTCGATTAGTTATTTAATATCGTTAAAGTTTATTACGGAATACTATTTGCTTTTCGAAAATTGCTGCAAGATACGCACGATACCAAGGTTTCTAATGGGGAAAAAATGTTTAAAAAATATAATAATTGCATGTAAAACTAATTCACACGCGCCGAAGTCTATTCAAATGATGCTGAAAATAAATAGAACACACTTTTAAGTCGTTATCCCATGTAGAATTAACGGAGCACAAAATTTGTCGCAGGATGTTTCGCAAGTAATTCCCTCATTTTCCCTTCTATATATTCCACTATATCATCATGTTTTTCAAAATTATCAATCATTGGTGTAATTATCTGTACTGGATACAAGTGTTAGCTTGAGCATGTTACCGTGACTTACTATGTAAAGAGTAAAATAATGCTTATGAAACAATGTTATTTGCAGAAAAAATGAAAACATTCAGATGTAAATTGTGACATTTGAAAAATCAATCTATAATTTATGCGATCGTAATATTTTTCTTAGCCCTGAAACGTTTTTCGGACCATTATCTATTGGGTGACATGCGCGAAGAGGCTGATAAGGGTCTTGATTTCCTCACTTTAGGACGCTGGTATTATAAGGAACGTTTGGGAAAACGATAAATAATGAGAGGTATGAATGTGAACAAACAAATTATGCAAATTTTGAAATAGGACTGATAGGAAACAGAAGATTTTTTTTTAAATGGCTGGGACAGTTTTCTTACCGCAAATTTTACTAGGCATTAATCGATATTACCATCCCAAAACGCCGAGTTTAAATACTTAGTATAGTAACTATTACACACGTTTGCCGTTTATAGTATATCGAATAGTCATTTTATAATTACGGGGAACAAACTCAACATTTCGATAATTTTACCTTCTAATGCAGTATTTCGTAAAAGAAAGAGCGCGTGTAAAAGTAATTTGAATGAAAACACAATTAAAATAATGTCACCAAACTACGTTTACTTTTCGTTTTGTTAAAACACTTAAATGAGTGCACTATTTCCGTTAAGGTATTATATATCGTTAACGTTGATTCGTTTTATTGATGTTGTTATTACATATGTTATATATTTAATATTGCTAACGTATTGATGAATTAATTGTTTGGAAAATTGTTTTTTTTAAATAATTGTTTGGATAATTTTGAAATTGGGTGAAAAATTGTTTTGAAAAAGGGAAACACTTCGCGCTCACTTAAACGAGTTTCATGCAACATACGCCAAAGACTTCTTTCAAAACCAGTTCCCCTTATTCCCTGGGCATCACGCGCCATGCCAGCGTCCGCCCGGCCCCCACCTGTACGTGAGCGTGTTCCGCGTGGAGGCGGCGTGCAGGCGGCCGGGGTCGGCGGTGGGCGTGCACTGGTGGTGCGGGTGCAGCGGCAGGTTCAGCACCAGGCCCGTGCAGCTGAGCAGCGCTTCCTCCGAGCTGGAGAACGACGACCAGAACTCGCTGTTGGACGAGTCCAAGTCGCCGGCCTCGGTCTCGTTCACCCGCTCGTGGTGATCTGCGATCCCGTCGGGCCGCATGTCCTGAGAGATGTAACAAAGTCAAAATGGGGAATTTCTGGATAGGGGCGATCCATAAATTACGTAACGAAAATTTGGAAGATTCTGAATATACCCTTTCCCCCTCTATCGCGCACTTGAACTGCCCTTTAGTAAATACAAAATGTTTGCGACCCCCAAGATCCAATCAATATATCATTGATGAAAAATATCTTCATTTATCGGTAACAATTCATAGAATATATCTTCTTTAATATATTAGATTTTTAATTTAATTTTCTTGTATAGTAATGTTTTAGTTTAAGACTGAATAAAAAGAATTATTTCAGCAAATGTTGAAATATTTTAAAACTACGTATCAGCATCACGGAACACTTAACTGTGACCCCACTACCTCTACGTAACCACGTAACGCTGCCTAAACCCCCCCTGACCCCTCATCATTGTTACTTAATTTATGGACAAACCCAAAACGCTTTATTAAAAAGGAGAATTTATGGCGTGTAACAATATTGTCACTTGGTTTACTGTAATAAAATGGGTCAAAGTTTGGACACTGGTGACGTGCACAGTAGGATTCACACATATGAGAGAAGAGACAACTATACATGAAATTGTTTTTTATAATATATTGTTATCATATTATTAACAGTTATCAGATTAATATCAGTTATTAACTTACGTTAATTTCAAAATTTGAAACTTTAGGGTAATTGGATGTTACGGAATTTGTTGAGTTTTAAAAACAATGCCTTCATAATCGAGAAATTTCTTTTCACTTTTCACTTTAGAATGAGAAGATAAACAAAATGTAGGCAAAAATTGTGTGTTGGGTGACACAATAGCAAAATGTGTGTAAACAAAAAGGTAATAAGATTCTTACATCTCTAAAAATAATACTAATTAGGACCCAAAGACATTTATTCGAGTTGGTTATAATTCCCAAATTAATTCCCTCAATTGCCAAGTTAAATGAGACATCACAATGAGATTAGTCGCACATTATTGCGAAATTTCCAAAAGTCATGCCAGCCACAAAAAAGCGGATAAAATGAAGACCGCACATCCCAACAAATGGGAACGGCTCATGGATGATTGTGCAAAGGAACTCTTGAAGAGAACACGAGTCAATTGCGAGCAAATCGGCCGGTTAGGCCTATATGTTATATGCAACGGCTCAGGCCTTCAAAACAAATCGGTGTCTGATTTCACACAATTATTAACTACGATAGTCAGCGCTTCCATTTTATAAACTTTAGAAGAGAAATTGTATTGGCCATTACATAAACTATATTTAGCCATTAATGTCCCGTAACGGGGCAATTGGCCTCGGAGCCCTTAGATCATGGGGTTCCTAGTCAGTCACCCAAACAGAAGCCCGCGATGTCTCGAATTCGTTTAACGTTCGTGTCTTCATCTAGTTAACAAATTTGGCTCGCGACCTTTTTCGTGGTCGTGACCTTTCAATAGAACCATACCATCATTTGTCCCGACGACCAAGGGAAACCACGCAAACCCCGGTGAGGATGGCCGGCAGGGGGATTGAACCCGGGCCTCCCGATAGCAAAGTCAGCGCGCTACGCCCGAAGTCTCTTCGCTCGGCGAAGAGAAATTAAATATTTTGAAAAAAAAATTATTGGTCCTATAGTCCTTCATGAAATTTGCGTTATAGACTGTCCTTACTGACTTCTTTCTCTTTATCTTCTGTTTAAAATATACAATTTAAAATACAGTTGAGCGACATTTTAATAGGAGAAAGTCGACTAATTTCGACCGATTTTTGTTTTTTTCGTTTCCATGGTCTCAATATTGAATTAAAACAAAATTTTAATAAAATAATCTACAATCTATGGGCCTTCTTTATGAAATACCCGTTGTATAATTTGGACTTACAGTATCCAGTCTAGCCTAAAAAATAAGCACGAATGACTTTATATTCAGTCTATTCGCTGTTCAGATTGGCTATACATTAAAGTGGATGATATCTCGAATGATTTAGTAAAATTTCTTAACCATATTGTTGAACATTTTAGTCTCATCGTTTCTTGTTGTTATAGATAGAATCATCTGAAGTGGATTCATTAGCATTTTGACCCAATTTGCTACAACTACGTTTGCTTCTTGCCTACTGTAACTGCCAGAGCATCAGACTAGGTATCGTATCACCTGTTTACATACATTTCCGTTTACACTACATTCATTTCACCTGTTAACATACACGGCACATTTACTTCAAAGGCAACATTAGTCCTATTGTGCGTGTTCGTAAGTTAAGAAAGTTTAATTGTAATATGTAGCATCAAAGTTGTAATTATTTGCTCCCTGTTCACACAATGATTTACGATATTAAGTACAAAAATTGTGCGACCCTCTTGAAATGCTATTTACGGAAAATTAACTAACAATTCCATTAAGCCAAATTCGGTAACTTTCCCCGTGTGATATTTCAACAAGAAAAATGATTCAGAATGTTGTCTCTTGAGGAAAAATAAGTCTATGAACGTCTTGTGACATTTTTCAGGCAAGATTTTCCACGTCGAGATCTTCTGTTCAAGGCTCACGTGAGAGAATGTTAAGTAAATAATTTGTGTTATACTCGTGCAACGTGTTGGGTAAAGCTCCATTCCCCAGTTCATGAAAGTAAATTGTTTAGGACGGAAATGTCCGTTGAAACAAACAGCTTTGAGGAAAGGTTATTGTACGCATACTTCTGCCACGTGCTGACAGCATATAATGAGCCTTTCCCCGACACGTGTGAGTGACGCGTAGTCTGAACCTGGCGCAAACCCTAGTCGTTGATGTCACTTCTCAAATTATCTTTCAAAGATACACGCAAACGTTTTTTCACTATTGAACAAACTCTTAACTGTATGAGGGGAACAAGCTGATTTCCAGCCTCGATATCAATGTGTCAACATCAAACGAGGGGTGTGTTTGGTGCCACGAGATCTTCGTCCACATTGGCGCCCGCAAAGCTTGCCATTGCAGTTATTCTTCACAGCAGGAGATTTTCGGAGTTTGCTGAACCGATATCACAGGAATGTAGTATAACAAGATATTCTCATAAATCCTGAATGGCGCAAATAGAAAAGTAGAGTAGAAGAGCGCGAGTAATATCATCGCGAATTGAATATGATCACTCGAAAAATATTATTTTTAAACAGTTAATGTAAAATAAAACGTCTTAATTTTAAAATCAATGTACCTGTATAATATTTTTTTCACTATTATAAAAGTCCTTGCTCACTGTATTTTGAAAGTTCTAATATTCAGAATCTGACCCTCAAAAAGGAAATTCATAATTATCCATAAATCAGTCAATTATATAATTTTCTGAAATAAATACGTAATATTTAATAAGTACGTACGTACGATTTGTCTGTTATTCTGTGAATACCGAAATTCTAAAATTCTTCACCCAAGACAGGTTTTGAAACGGATTTACTTAGCACCTATCAGAATTATTAGAACAGTAAAAACCACGTATACGACAAAATTATAATCAAAATAATTTCGTAATATACTCGTAAATTATTTATTTCTATGTTATATGAATGCTATAACATTGTGCTACAATAAAAAAATGTTTTAAGTATCGGTTGTTGGGTCGACGGCGTACCTTATATTGGTTAGTCCAAGACAACTGCAATGACTCAGAGCAAATGCTCAGACTCAGAGAAACTGACCAGACGCATCATTTCATAATATTAGCAAATATTTTATTCTATTACTTATTTATAATTTTATTAGTTACGCACGAACATACCCTTTCCCCTATAAAAAGGATTCAATGTATACTCATCATAATCAAAGTTAAAGCATCGAGTTTTAAGATTATGAATAAATATTTCTGTTTAAAATGTCTAAAAGTTTGTAGTTGAGTTATTCAACAATCAAACAACGCGAAAAACAGTAAAATAATTAGAGAAATATAAAATTAAAAATGGTAAGACTGGAAAATCACTGTGGAGTAACATTCAACGATTCAAGCACGAACTACGAGTCAGCGGACTCTAATAGCTAATACGTTGTAAAACCAACATTACGTGTAAAAAATAACTAATGTAATGAAACCTGCTGAAACGCCCATCCCGATTAAGCGGTCTCCATTAAAGGTATTTTTTCGTGGAACCGATTGATTTTTCTATGGCACACAATTGTAAATATTTTCACGTTTAAACGGCTTTCTGGCTCAGCAGCAAACGGCCAGGCACATTTTGTATTATTTGTATTATCAGTTTTAAGAAGTCACCTTTTGAGCCGTAAAATAATAAGATGCGGAAGTGTGGTGGAGATTATTGTTGATTTAGTATCTTCATGCGGTGGGACGTATTGTCAGATTACTTACACATCACTGACATCTAAAGTCACTTATTTCGTAAGGAAATTCATTTCTGCATCAAATAAAAACAAATTTTAATAAAGTTTGTTCTTTAATGGAATAACAGCGTGTTTGCTTCGCCCATTCCGCAGCATTTTCACGATGTTTGTAAACTCCTGCTCCCCCTTTGTTGGAACTTGTCAATGATCCGCGGAGCACGCCGGCGCAAAACTGATCTGAAGGTAATTCGCGATCTCCTCTGTATGGCAGTCCTGCTTTGAAATAAAAAAAGAAGCGCACCAAAGCCGAAAGATGGCGAAGGATAGAAGTGCATTCTTGTTCTACTGCAATTCTGCGGGTGTAAAGGACGCTTCATTGGTGATAGAAAGACTGCTGAGGTCAGGCTGGTTGAAGGACGTCGATATGAACTTACTCGCGGTGCAGTACTAGAAGAACACAAAATCATGAATGGCATCCGCTATATTTGAAGATATTTCATTTCACTATGCTTATTCTATTTTTAGCCCTGGGGTATGGGATGAAATGATGACGATAATGATGAAATACACCGATACAAAACATACAGAGACACACACAACACAACCATTCCCGTCGCGGAACTGGAACCCACGATCTTCTGGTCTGAGACCGCTACGCAACTACTGCCTTAACGATCTCGGCCATCGGATTGACATTATCATCATCATCATTATCTTTATTATTATTATTATTATTATTATTATTATTATCATTAATACTAATTCGTAAATGAAACGTGTAGCGGGCAAATATGTGCGGCGTAGGGGTCCGTTGGGAACTTCCGTTTTTCCGGCTTTTTGTTTTCTAATTCGCTTCATCTTGAAGCCTATCAGCACGTCACATTTAATGGCTAGCACCACATTCATCGCAGTAGCAGATATGAGGTAACTTGGCGAGTTTGCGATGGTTTCAAGGCTGTCGAACAATGGTTCCCGTCTCCCCGCAAGTCACGCAAATCAATAAAGTATTTGAAGTTCATTAAATAAATATCGTTTCGAAGTATTAATTTGAGCTATCGAGAGCCAACTGTCTCCACATTCTGAAGGCTGGACCCAAAGACAAGGGTCATATGTCCCGAATTTTCAGATGCGCCAACACTACAACAAAATTTAGTTGTAAGATATGTCTATTGTCTAATGTTATTTTAGCAGCATTTTATTGATTTATTGTTTGGTTCCTTCTTCTTTTTCTTCTTCATCTTCTTCTTCCCTTTATTTATTTAAAACAATTCTTATAATTTGGTGCAATTGTGTGTCACGAAATATTTTGCAGTCGCTTATAAAACATTACGACGGGGCACCAAAATGTGCAGTCTTGACATCGGGTCCCATACATTCTCCAAATATTTATCAATGAGGCGGCGACGACGACCATCCTTTGTGAATGCTGGCGCCACCTTGGTAGGAGAGATAAAACACTAAAAAGCGACGACGGAACAGTGACGTCGCCGCCCCACTGCAGAATAGAGCGCGCTGGCAGGCACGGGCCCAGGCGGCAGCGGGTGGCGAGCTGGTCTACGCGAGCCAATTGGCGCAGGCCCGAGGCCAATGGGGCGGGAACCACAATCGCAGAATAACTGAAGAGGCACGGAGTCGGAAAGAAATAGTCACACTTCGGACCTCAGCAACAGGAGCATTTTACGCCAACAAGCAACGGTCAAATTTCATGTGCCACAGACCGGTATACAATGGTGCATCCCCAAATGGGATGCGATGATGTGAAGTAAGTTTAAAAAAATATATGTATGAACTTTTCATATTAAGAAGTAATCATAAAACACTCTCCTCAAAGTAATAGCTGTACATTAAGCTACTGATATTATACATTGCAATAATAATAATAATAATAATAATAATAATAATAATAATAATAATAATAATAATAATAACAACTAGATACTATCCGTCAATAGAAAGACATTTAGGCTCCATTGACTCTAAAGAGGAAGGATGTATTTAAAATATAAAATACAGAAGGCATTTTTAGCCTCAGTCACTACGTATAAAATGATACCCTTCCTTCCAAATGGTTTGTTGAAGTCAAAATTGCAGAGAAAATATTGTTCAAGGTCTTCACGTCTAAGGAAAAGATTCATCCCATCGTAGGGATCCCGTTTGGTGGCGCGCCAACGCCGCGAAATGCAGAGACTAATGGTAGTGCTTACGACAGGGTTGCCCAAACACGCCTCACCCATGCAATTCCAGATTTATTTCTGGTGCCGTCTCATCGTGAGACAAGGAATGAGAACAGAAAACATACTGGAAAACGTTCGATAATATATCAGCGTGTTACCCAACAGATTGGACGCTGGAAATCAATGCCTGTTATGAGTTCATGTTTTGTATGATAAAACGCGCAAACCCAAGGCGTCACGCTGCAAGACGCTACTGCCTTAGGTCGTAGGCTACCATTTCGATATTCAGCAGCTATTGTTATGCTGGTTTATAACAAAGAAAACCCTTTGTTGTCGTTTATGATTCTTAGAATATCCCACCTCACCGAATGCTCAGACATTTTAATTTTGCCTCAGCGTATGTTCGTTTTATGGCAATTATTATTAGAGTTTATCGGGTTCACTGACCCTGTGTCAAAACACGTGACGAACATGTTTTACCCGATCAACATCCAAACGAGATATACTACATAAATATTGTGAGGTAACTTTACTCGTTTTCGATACATTGTATATCGATATAATGGATTGTATTATATTGCACAGTGCTTACGAATTGAAAAACTTATTTCTACTATCTAGTAACTAACATTTAACTTTAAGGTTATTAAAGGAAAATGCAACATCTCATTTTAACGCACACTATCGTTTTAGCAATTAATTTGTATTTGTATATAAAGTGGAAGGTTACCACGAAGTGTGTTACAAGATAAACATCAAATTCGAAGTCGAGTCTAACAATTTTTTTAAAAGATGAAATAATTTTTTTTACGGCCACAGTTTATCTATTTTCACTCATTATAGGAGAATCATCAAGTGGGCCAAGAGCTAGCTATCTTATCAACTGGAAAGTACCTGTCTCTTTTGACCCTGTGTAGATGTGTAAGTTTATTTTTTTAATAAAGCAGCAACATCTAGGTTACTAGCAACCACTATTCGTTTTAACATTATGGGCAACTGTGAACTAGGTGAAATGATATGGTGGTGATGAGGGTTGAAATGAACACATATACATCCGTGCCCGGGTTGACGGGATTCGAACCCGCGATCCTTCAGCCCGAGGTCGCTACGGCACACCTGTCATAGCGATCTCGGCCAGAGATTCGGCAAGTTAAATCCTGTTTGCGGAATCCACGCTAGCACTTAAACGCTCATAATTAAATTACAATAAATGTACGTTACTTTACAACGCATTGCCAGATGACATTGCAGAAAATTGAAGTCGGTTCACAAATTTAAGTTAAAAGTAAAATCTTTTCTGCTGCATAACTGTTTCTATACAATTAGAGACTACTGATTATCAAAAAGAAAAATAATGTTTATTTTAACAAAACTGTAATATACAATGGATTAGTTTACATTTGTATTGTATATTTTTTTAAAGACTTAATACGTTTGTAACAAATAATGTACTTCAGCTTCCGGGTCAACGACCCCCATCTCGATTAGGTTTTCGTCCAGTTTCCCTGATCCATTGAGCAAACGCTGAGTTGGCCCCTTGTTTTGCTTCCGGACGTAAATGTAGCTTCACTATGCGCACGTTTTGTTGAACTCTCCTTTTGCTTGTAATGGTAAGAGTAGAGGTAAGGGCGAGTTTGTTAGCAATGCAGAAAAATCATACTTGCAATTTGTTTACCGATGTGAAAAAGTTTTCTGTAACTCAGAATCGAAAATATCTATTTTTTTAAAATATATTCTAATCTTCCGATTTTTAAAATTTATTTTTATTTATTTATGTTAAACTTTCACTCATCCTTCAACTATTTATAGTTAAAATGACGGGAAGAGATTCTGGAACTCAAGAAAATGTGCGCAGATCATGAAATGACGTGAGATATTTCATTGTGAAGACAGCCCTGACGCGCCATGTTATAAAAACCCCAGTTTAGGAAGTTAATATCTCAGTCCGTGTGCTTTCTTTTTCTTTTGGGGCAACACTAAGGAGGAGGTGTACAAGTCCAAACATCGCACATTGGAGGAAATGGAGGCGCGGATTCAAAAGGTAATGGCAAACATCCTTATTAATTTCTTTCAGAAAAGTATTAGCTGTACTGGTGAATTAGGAAGATTGTTGACAACACTGGTACCTATGTTGAGATTTAAAATATTAATTTGCTTTCTCATGTAGCAAAAGTTGTGTACACGTGTTTGTAATCAATTTAAATAATTCTTACCTAAACTACAACAGATATTTAATACCCAGTTACTTTACATTCACATGTACTCTGAAAGGCAAGGTACCCGTGTCAGCTCATAGGGAAATGAGAACTAGAGCAACAACGATAAAAAGAAAAATTAGTGTACATTAGAGTACTGCAATGATTACAATGAAAATATCTCAAATCATCAGAAGATAATTATTAGTCTATTAGTGATGTAAGGGGAAAAGATCCGACCAAGGGACACATTACTGTAAGACTAACAGAGCTAGTTATGAAAGCTTTCAGTTTCATCTACACCTCACAGATTCAGAGGAAATATAGAAGTTTTAGTAACAGAAATTCACATATGAAATATCAAAACTAATCATTTCTTTACTTTCATATGACTGTATCAAAATGACGGTAACATGATACATATTTTAATGAGTCGATACGCTTGCTTGTTGAACGTGTGAACAGAAAACGGTGGTGGATTTGAATGTGTACTGTTAAGTAAAGTCCAAACATGATCTCTAATCCTGATGAGTGAAATTTTTGAAACGAAACGAGTTATATGATTCGTGAGTCTTAAATTTCTCCTTATTACTTGGATATCTGACACAACTCTTCGAAGCTTGGAGACAGACTTAAAACTATGGAAATATACTGTGATGCAGAGGATACTGTAGACGAAAGTAAGAAGAAACTTCATTAAATGAACCAGAAACTTTTTGAACGAAGATATATGAGCTTTTGCGTTCAGTTGAGAGGCGCATTCTTGTGCACCTGTCCAATCAAAGAAATCAACGAGAATTTCATGTCACATTTCTCTCAATTCTCACTTCTTTCATACCATATAGGGAACATTTACTTACTTCTGCTGTTAATATAAAACAGTTATGGTGAATTTTAGTCTGAATCCATATTTTTTTTCAAAAATCCTTTTTAAAATTTTTAAAAAAATTACCAAAGGAAGTTGAACAAGATTTTATAGTCAATGCAACTTGTTAGAGGAACAAGAACCACACCTACAAACTTGAGTTGTGCTATTTATAACGATGTGTTCGAACAGACCCAAAAAGGTAAAGAGACC